TTAAGGCAGTGTTGGCTGAGGGAGATGTAGAGATGAACCCCGGAAAAGAAGGAATGAAAAACAGGTCAGACCTGAGCGGGAATAAGAAAGCTTTCTGGGAGCCATATGTCCCACTTAGGGAATTCCAGAATTCAAGTAAAACCAAATAAGTTAATTAGGATGATTAAAAAGTTGTCAGATGGAGGTTCAAGATCACACTGCTTTTCGAATATTAAAATAAATTTTAAACAGAAAAGAACAAAAAATGCAAAAGATACAAATTAATTGATGTTATATAATTGGAAGATTTCAAATACAAAGCCTGGAGTCTAAATAGTATTGTATTGAGGAACAACTAACCAGTTAATGTTCTGGAAATTCAAGCATCATTCAGACAGAAAAAACACAAGATCAAATACACCCAGACAAACACATCAACATAATACAAGAAATTACTTTAAGATATCAAAATTATGAAAGATATCTTGCAGAAATGCACTGTTTCTGGCTGGTATCTCTTATAAACTGTAGATGAAAGACATACTGTATTTGGCTAGTTTAACATCAGCATACAACTAAAACTGCATACAATTAAAATTTTGTTAATACTGCAACTAAAAATATTGTTAATATGTACTATTACAATATGTTGTTAATATACTTGTGGTCATAAAAACTGACATACCTTAAATTTTGTCATTATTTCTTTCTCAATTGAAAAAAAAAATAGCAATTTGTTTTCACTTCAATATATTGTGACATATTCTATTAGCACAAGACAACAAATAAGGGGGGAAAACAACAAAAATCATAATGTAAAATAAAGCAAACAAACATCTTTTTAAACAAAAACAAAACGGATCAAATTTTTTTTAAATTATGAAATCTGAGTCTCTAGTACCTAATGTTGCCTCTCTTTTGTTGAATAATGGTCTGTACTCTCATAGGCATATTATGAATATGGCTGTTACCCGATCTTGAACCTGATCCATTTCAAATACTTCGAGATCACATAGAGGGTTCTGTTGTCAATGGATGGACATCCTAAGCTGCTCCCAAAGATACTTAATAGGATTGAAGTCCAGGCTGCGAACTGGCTACCCCAAGGTGTGGACACTAACCTCATTTGAGTAGTCCCGTACAAAATTTTGGATGTACAGTCAAGCATTATCCTACATAAAAAGGAAACGGAGAACGATGAATGTGCCAAAAGGCACCACATATTCATCAAGGATATTGGTGATGTACATGTGTGTCACAGGCAACTGGAGACAAACTGATACTGTTTTATTTTAATAATAATAATAATAATAATAAAAGGCTTAGCGAACCCGAAGATTCGATGCCGACACCACCAATCGCTTATTACACACCTCCCTCCACCGTTCGCCGTCCAAACCCAGTCCCTTCAGATCGGCTTTGATGCAATCTTTCCACCTTCGCTTTGGTCTACCCCTCGGACGCTTACCATTCGGCACGGCAAATATTAACCTTTTAGGAATTCTCTCGTTACTAAGCCCAACAATTTTACAAGCCCATTTGATACGCCGCGATGAAATTACCTCAATTATATTACCCGGATACAGTTCACGCAATTCGGCGTGATAATTGGTTTATAGATTCTAATTTTTAAGTTCCGGGACAAGAGGCGCGAACTAAGTAGTTTTGTCACAGAAAAAGAACAAGCATTTCCCGCCTTCAGTCTAACCTTAATCTCTTCTTCAATTTCGTTTTTTCTAGTTATCGTAGAACCTAGATACCTAAATTTCTCTACCTGTTCAAACATATTACCATCTATATCGATATCACCAGTAGTATCGCCATTTTTACAGCTAACCATATATTTTGTTTTATCCACGTTTATTTCGAGTCCTAGTTCTTTACCGGCTTTCATTAACATTGTCGTATTTAGTTTTATAGTTTCAACGTCTTCGCTTAACAGTACCAGATCATCAGCATAGCCCAGCACAGATGTTGTCCCGTCCAGATCCAACCCTTTCTCGGTTCGCATTACCTCCCGAATGGCATGTTCTAATGCCAAATTGAACAGGACAGGCGAAAGAGAATCCCCCTGTTTTAAACCCGAACGAACCTCAAATTTTTTGGACAAATTATTACCGATTCTAACTTTATTGAATGTCTCCGTCAAGCACATCCTGACTAGATTTACTAATTTTTTTGGAATCCCCTGCTCGATTAGAATATTATACAGTTTCTGGCGGTCAATAGAATCGTAAGCTTTTTTAAAATCTATATACAGCTGGTGAAAAATACTGTTATACTCCAATTTTTTCTCTAATATTTGCCGTAAAGAAAATATTTGATCAATAGTCGAACGATTCCGTCTAAATGCGCATTGGTAGTCTCCGATAATTTCCTCGGCGTATTCCGTGATTCGACTGGTTAAGATTAAAGTGAATATTTTATAACATACCAGAAGGAGTGAAATTCCTCGATAGTTATTACAATCTGTCCTCGGACCCTTTTTGTGAATCAGAATAAAAATAGATTCTTTCCATTCCTCAGGTAATTTCTCATTCACCCAGATCTTTTTAACCAACCGATGTATTTTAGAAACTCAATGCCTTAATTAGTTCAGTAGGAATATTATCGGTTCCCGCTGCTTTATATGATTTTAATTTTCCGTTAGCTACTTCAACTTCCTCTTTACTTGGTCCTTCTATTAACGGTTCAGCACTCTGGTACTCAGAAGGACACAGATCATAATTTCCCGTATTTAAAATATTGTCAAAGTGGTCCTTAAACTTATTCAATATGTCAACCGGATCGGTCAGAATATTGTTATTATCATCCCTAATTCCAGACGTTACGGGCCCTGCACATTTACGTGATCTGTTTATACCTTTGTACATGTCTCTTACGCTATTTTCGATTCTATTAGTTTCTATTTCAATTATTTTATTTTTAAGACATTCCCTTTTTTATTTTTGAGCAATTTTGTTGTTTCGTTCTTTGAGGTTCGGAAGTATTCCAGATTGTCTTCGCTAGGATTATTTAGAGCTTTTAATTTAGCAGCTTTTCTTTTTTCGCACATGTTTAAGCAATCTTCATCAAACCACGGTTTGTTATTCTTATTTTCCTTTTTTTCTAGACACAAGTTACCGACCGCTTTAATATTATCCCTGATCTCTACCCATAACTTGTCAATATCCTCGCGGTCCTCGTCAGGAAGCTCTAAAGCTTCAAACCTATTCTTAACATCTAGCTCGAATTGGTTTCTAATTGATGGATTTTTTAATTTTTCCAAATTAAAATTCTCAAAATCAAAACGGTTTTCTTTTCTCTTTTTTATATTGAGTTTTTGTCGAAGTTTCGCAATTACTAATTCATGATCCGACCCACATTCTGCTCCGCGATAAGACCGTATATTAATTATACTGCTTTGCCAGCTGTGTTGTATCAAGACATGATCGATTTGATTTTGTGTTTGCGAATCCGGTGATGCCCAAGTATATTTATGAATATCCTTATGTTTAAACATCGTACTTTTAATTATCAGGTTTTTCGAGATGGCAAAGCAAACAGACGGATCCCATTATCATTACTATATTCGTGCAAACTTTCTTTACCAATCATCGGAATATAAACTTCTTCCCTTCCTACCTTTGCGTTCGCGTCACCTACAATTATTTTCATGTAGTTTCGCGGTAGTTTATCATAAACCCATTCGAGTTTATCGTAAAATTCACTTTTGACTTCATCGTCACTGTCTTCGGTCGGACAATGTATGTTTATTAATGCGATTTTAAACCAACGTCCCTGAAATGTAGCTACCGAAATTCTATCACTAAAGAATTGTACGTCCCTCAAAGCGGATAGTAATCTACTCCTAATTAGAAACCCTACTCCTAATTAGAAACCTCGCGCGGGCTCATTACCGCGTATGGAGCGTCCCACGGGTGGCGGATGTGGGGATGGTTGGTGGAAATTCCTTGGAAGTTCCTCCCGGCTAAGTCCGATGGACTCGCTGACCAACAATGAGAGGGGCCCTCCAGACTTGCTGGAGGGAGGGGACCTCCAGACTTGCTGGAGGTAGGGGCCCACCAGACTTGCTGGAGGGTGTGACGTAGGATTGAACGCCCTACTCACATATCTTTAGTTCACCAAACACCACAAATAGTCATGGATCTCCCTAAGGTAAAACGCTCATAATCCGGAGGTAAACTAGTCCCCCGTTCGGGTCTCCGGGTGGGGACTGCTTTAGGGGATTCATGGCGAGAAAGTTGAAATATAGGGATTTAAATATTGGTACGTGGAACGTAAGGAGTTTAAACACAGCAGGGGTGCTAAAATCGGTCTCAAATGAGGTAAATGGGTACAATTTGGAGGTCGTGGCTCTGCAAGAGGTTCGCTGGCCAGGGGAGGGCTCGATGAGGGAAGGAAAGTACACTATTTGGTACGGAGGAAGCAGGAATCATTGTTTAGGTACCGGGTTACTGTTTATTTTAATACATTTATCATTAATCCTTGAGCGAATCATGAGATTTTCTCAAAAGGATTAATGGATGGCAATCCCCTTTGACCTGTCATATACCTGTTATTACCTACCCTCAGGCTTGAAAATGCTTCTTTAATATGTGGTTTTATGTAAAATTCAAGGTGCGCCGTTCTTTTTTTTTTTTTTTTTTTTTTTTTTTTTTTGATCACCTGTTTATGTAACTATATAAATTCCTTAAAATAATACAACTTAGTTAATTCAATTTTTAATTGTTTTTCAAAAATATATCAATCACCTTCCAGCACAAATAATGGGACAACTCAAAAATGGTATTTTTGTGAATATCTCAATTGAAATGGTTGTAAATTTAAATTTCTGGTCAATTTTACAACCACTTCAATTGAGGTGTTCACAAAACCACCATATTTAAGCAGTTTCATAATTCGTACAGTTAGAGACCCAACACCTACACTACAAATTCAACATTTCTGTGAAATACGAATCTGGGATATTAAATAAATCTTAAATTAAAAAAAAAATTATGATAAAAATAAATGTATACCCTCTGCCAAGCGCAGGCCAAGGACGATGTTTTTTCCAAAGCTTCCCTAAATACCAATCACTTTGATTCTCCACAAGTCCAATACTCTAAAAAAAAAATGTTTTGATTTTGATATAAGGCAAATAAAAGCAGAGAGAGTGATTTAAACAATAAATATGACTATATTTGTTAACCTGCTTATGTTGGAATTTAGAAAAAATACTCCATAATTCAGCAATGTCTGTAGCAAATGTAACATCAGTGTCTAATACTATAACCTTATCAAGTGAGTCAGGAAGTACTTTTGGTAAAGTTAACTTCATCAATCCATAAACACCTGAATAATGCTTATTAGGTATCCAAGAAACATCATTAACAATATTGTCAGCCAAATAGAAACCAACATCAACTGTAAAATATAATTTTAATAAATTACATTTTCATAAATAAATAAACAATTTTAACGTGCATATCCTTCCTACTACCTATCCCAGTAAAAACTAAAAGTTATTCTAGAGGAAATTCCATTTTCTCTCCTTCCTGAAAGATAGATCTTGCACCCTTCCCCCTCCCCCCTCTTCCCCTAATTAGAGCTGATCTTTCTCTTTTAGAAATAAATGTCAATGCCAGTCCACCTTTTGTCCACAACATATAGTTTTTATTTCTGTGGCACTTGGATGGATTATTTTAATGAAAATTTTTTTACCTTTAATTTTCCATATAAATGAACATGTTATTTGGTCAACGGGTGATAAATGTCAGATTCTATTCTCTATTTTATGAAATTTTGGGTTGTTGTGTGGATATGTATCATTGTATTTTAAAAATTGAAATAAAAAGAATATAGTAATGGTAAAATGAAAAACATATTCAAAATCAAATTTACTTACTAAACATTAATCAAATTATCTTTCATTTCCTCAATAAAAATGATTCATTGATCAAAATTAATCACAAAGTATGACATTAGTAATGAGGTAATACCCAAGAGACATCATGGTATGTTTTATAATTAAACAGTTTATTTTCCTTAATTTAAAATTAAGGAATATAATACTAAAGTTGTAAGCATTGGTGTATAAATACTATAATTTATACGATAATTAAAAAAATTAAAATTATAGTGTTTAATTAAATATGTGATTCACAGTATTTATATAATACACTAATGCAGTATTTAAATGCATAAAATATAAACAGAATAGGTAATAACCAGGTATCTAATCAGTAGACAAGATTGTACTAAAACATGAACATAAGCACTAAAAGAAATTAATTTTGTTTAAATTCACAAAAATATGTCATAAGGTCGTAAGAAATCATATCTTAAATATGAAAATTGATAATGAAAACATAATTTGGACAATATTCACCCGAAATAAATTGTGAAAACTAGTTAGAATTTACCAATAGTATCTTCAGCAATAAACAATTGTAAGTGAACAATGGTAGATCTACTAATCTTAACATATATATGTATGTCATAGTCATAGGTTGTTACTAAAGTTCTTGCATACAACTATTTATTTCAAAAATTAATATAGAATACTAACTTGGATATTTCATTATTTCTTATAATTTCAAAGGAACTAATTCCTAGCATCCTGATTTCACATCTTGAATGACTTGAAGTCTGTCTTTTCAAAAAGAGATATGGAAAATGTAACACTGACAGGAAAAGACGAAAGCCAGAGGGTGCGATGTCAGGGCTATAGGTGATGTGCAAGAGATAAGTATTTTTAAAACTGCTCTGATCAGGTTTGAAGAAGAGTACTTGGCTTTTAAAACTTCATATACTCTATTGAACTGTTGAGTCTATAAGCTCAAAGACCATAGCCCTCCCATCTGGAACAAGTTCAAAGAGCATAATCCCTTTATTACTCCACAAAACTCAAAGCATTATTTTGTTTTTATTAATCATAACTATTGAAGCTATCGAAGCACTTGAACCTAAGCACTGCTGTATAACAATGTAATACCCCTTCACCTTATATTACACAAAATTCTTAAGCTGCAAACTACGCACTTAGTCCTTTTCCCAAGCATGGCTTTAAAAAACGACAAATCTCAACAACATTATAATAACAAATGCAAAAACAGTTAAAGTATATAACAGAATAAGGAATAAGCAAACTTAAACATTATATAAATATAATAATAAAATTCAAGGATAACGATAAGAGATTTGAAAGCCAGAAATATTTTAAGCCCAATGCCTTTGGAACAAGCAAGTATGCATAAGATATGTGTATATGAATATTTTACATTTTTTATTTTTAATTCTGTGGGCCACTTTCAATCTAAGGGCATTAAGTTAGTAACAGTTCAATAAAAGAAAAAGAGAGAAATAAATAAATGGCTCAGTAATAAGAAGTAAGATTTATCAAGTTGCGAAAACAAAACTACGTGTACTTAATAGGTCTTCATTCTTTGAATATATATATATAAACTTGATATTCTTGGCGAATAAATACAATGTCTTGTGGTAAACATAAACATAAATATTGCTGGCATTTAATCATTCATAATAAATGATCTTATTTTAAGGCTCCCTACTATAAAATAAAATATATCATTTAACTTGGCGAGGTTTTGTAACGTTAACAAATTACCGAGCATTGAATTGTTATTTTCTGTAATATATTTCTCTATGTAGTGTTCCCTTAAGTCTTTATACATCGGACATTCTATTAAAAATTAATATAAATTTTCTGGCTTTTAGAGGTTGTATATAGTACAGTTTTCTTCTCCTTCTAGTGTATTGGCTGTTCCATTAACACAAAATGAAGGTTTCGTTAAATTGGCTACCCTAAGTTGGCTGACTGTTCTATGTTTGTTCTTATGTTGAAATATTGTTCTCCGTGGCTTAGACTACTAATGTTTCTGTATTCTGAATTATATTTTGAATTGACGACTGAATTTATATCATTGCGAATGGAGTGATTTTCAAATCTATTTATAATGTCTTTGAGGTATAGTCGAGCAATTTCAGGATTAGGGTCATTATTGTGTTGCAAAATTGAATCTGAAATTACTTTTAATAATTTTCCTTTTAGCTGAGAGTACCAATTAAAAACCATATTGGGATTATTGTCCAATGCCTTCAATCTATTGTAGCAAATCTGTGGGATTCTATCTTCAGGAATTTTTAGTAAAGTTATCCACCATCTGTACATTCTTTTGACAACTTCTACTACCATAGTTTTTATTCCTGTTTCAAACTTACAATACAGTTTGGTGTATATTTGGACCATTTGTAAACCTGTTTGACATATTTCATTGTGATTGATTCTAAATTAGAACAATATTGCAGACCCCATATTTCTGAACAATATAATAATGTCGAACAAATGATTCATTGATACAGCTTATGTTTTGAGTCCCAATTTTCAGATTTAGTTCCTAGTAAAATGGTCAGAGCTATTGCTATAGCGATTTTTGTTTTTTTAATTGAAATATTTGTAGCTTGAAAGTATTTTCCTGTCGAACTAAACTGAATTCAGAAGTAGGAGTAATTATTCACAATTTGAATGGGCTTTCCTTCATATAAAAACGGCTTCAGTGCTTTTGTTCCCCCACCACCTTTGTGAAATGGTACTATTTTCATGTTTTCTGTGTTGAGAACCAGTAAGTTTCCTTTACAATATTTCTGTAATATGTTTAACTTCTTTAGGCAATCTATCCATGACTCTGCAAGTATCATTATGTTGTCCGCGAATAATAACATTAGAAGTTCTTTTGAACTATTTATAGCTAAACCTTTTGCTTGGTGCTCATAAAAATACTTCACAATATCTGAGATGTACAGTGCAAAGAGTAATGGGCTTGCTGAATCACCTTGAAGTATTCCTTTTGTAATTTTTATTGGGCTTGACATCACCCCATTAATGTCTACCACTGCTTCCATATTTTCATACAACATTTTGAGTATTTTAATTATTTTTGCATTTACTCCAATGTTATTTAGCTTTTGCCATAACTTATTAATTGAATGATTATATTTTACAAAAGTTGTTTTCGCGGTTGTGAAGTTTAGATGAATAAAGCGGGAGGTTAAGTTCGAAAAGGAGCATCATATGAGAAGAAACTTCCGGTACTTGGCCCACGACCATATCATTAACAAATGGCATCATATTGAGGTTTATCCAGATTGTATCCACTACAGACCTGCCATTATGACAAGTAAAATGTCCTAATCCGTCACTGTAACTCCTACCGGTGATCATTATAAAATCATTTTCCTCTAAAAGGTTTGCCATTTTTTCCCCCCTCAAATTCGTAACTCTGTCCTGCGACTGTCTAATCTCATTCAACATTGTTCCTTCAAAGAGATTGTATTCAGTCGATTGGTTTAACGCATCGAACCTTCCATTCCAATCCCCTCCGAGTAAAACGTATTTACGAGAAAGATCATCTTTTATTTCAGTCAATACTTCACCAAAAAGGTCGATAAATTCATCTGTGTTATAAGTTTGGTTGAAATAAATGTTGCCTATCATTAGTTTTATGTTATATAATTCTATTTCTAAAAATAGTCATAAATTACAACAATCAATAATATTTGCCTTCAAGTTAAGTATTTTTTTAACTACGGTTAATAAACTTTCACTGCCTCTGCCTTTAGTTTTCCGTTTAATGGCTTTCGAATTAACTATTAGGTAGTCACTAAAACAACTATGAAGCGAAATTCGTCTTTGAGGATAAATGTCTCTTGTAGGCAAATTATTTGATATTTAGACATAAGATTTAAATATTCATTATTTAAATTATAAAAAATTTTATACCCTTCTACATTCCAGTACATTATTCCCAAGCCATTTTCCATGCAGTCCAGGAGCTGTTGTGACATTTTTTTTTATAGTTGTAGTTTCTGAGGTCAGGAGTTATTTTCCAGGGATGGGCCACTCAGGGAGCTAGATCTTGGTCTGAACTGAAATCCTTGTAATCTTTCTTCTGTTTTTCTCTTCTTATTTATTTGCTTAGATTCTCCATCCTTTTTTTTCAACATTACCCGGCGAGCTATTCAGAATATTTTCTACTTCATCCAACCGATAAAGGCTACCTCTAACTTTAAAAAATCCTTTATTATAAACTGCATTTTTATCAAGAGCCTTTACCTTAGTTATAGTCGAACATTTGTCTGCCTCTCTCTTCTATCCTCCGGCAATCTCTCTTCTATCAGGGCAACAATTTTCTTGTCCTGGTCGGAATTTTTCTTTTTGAGCTCTGAAATTTCCTCCATTAGAGAATCAAGAATTATTGTGATTTATCTCTTTTCATGTGATGAATAGCTATTTGCAGTTCTTCTAACGATATTTCACAGTCAAGGAATGGATTTATTATCTTTAAAGTTTTATCTATACTAGGATTTGGAGAGGAATACTATTAAAGATAATTTTGTTTCTTCATTATTTTTTTTAAGCTCTGCCAGTAAATCTTCATTGGTGACTATATAATAACTATATGTTGTAAGAAAGTTTTTTTAAATAAATAGGCTATTTTAAGTTTAAAGAGAAATTAAAGGGAAATGTAAATAAATAAAACAAAATTCTTTTGAAGAAGTGTCCAAGTCAACGTAAATATCGTTGACAAGAAACAGCTGTTCGCTGTTACTGACCTTGTGATAAGACTGAGACAGAGGAGGGAGCGGACAGGAATTGCTTGCAGATTTTAGCGATAACGGCTGCTAACTTCCAGCGAAATGCTTCCTCATGTATTTCTTCATAGCTGCTCTTACACTCGTCAGAACACCACCGAAATTTGTAAAAACATTCCTCAATACGAATCATGAGAGTATACAAAAAATCACTTTTGTAGGGAATGTATAACTTAATAGGATTGAAAATGAACACAGACCCAAACTGACACTCAACACGGCCAGAGCCAGACTCATTCTAATGTAATATAAAATAAATAAAAAAAAGTTATTATCGTGTCGTGACCAGCACTAGTAATTTCTGATAGGGTGCCCCCTCTGGATGGTAGAAAAATAATTCCTAGAAACTATCCAAAAACAGCTATTTAAAGAAAAGAAAAATATAGGAAAAATCATCCTCTATGATGAATTTTCTAATGTGATCAATATCATCATTTCGAACTCGACAATCCATTACTGGATCTTCGCTGCCTTAAGAGTTTTCCTCCATGTTTTCCTGTCCTGAGCAGTCTCTACCAGTCCCAGATTCCATGTATTCTGGCATTCAGCACTTACTCCATTTTCCATCTCAGTTTCGGTCTGTCCACTTTTCTTTTTCTAACTGGCTCCATGCTCAGTAGCTTCTTTGGGATTGAGGTCTCGTCCATCCGATCTTCAGCCTAATCCGGATACATTTCACCGTATCCGGCCCCATGTATAAGTTAGCTAGTTCTTGGTTGCGTCTAATTTTCCGTTGACCATTCTCTTTAACTGGGCCAAATATCCTCTGAAGGATCTTTCTTTTGAAAACTAATATTTTAAGCACCTGTGCAAGAGAAATATAGGGAAAATTCATCCTCATAGACGAATTTTATAATGTAATATATTAAAAAAATATATTATCGTGACGAGCACTAGTGTATTCTGTAAGAAAGCGACCCTCTGAATGGTGGACAAAAACATCTGAAAAAGTTCCAAAAGGCAGCTATTCAAAGAAAAGTGATGTAGTTTTTGGGCCACCCTAATGCGCGAAGGCTTGTGCTCCTGTCGCAGTTTGTTCCTATTGACTCTGAACTGAATCTCCAGGTAAAATACATGATGAAGGAAACTTTATTAAAAAAAAAATGGACTTCATTTATTCTTTCGTACAACCTTTTATTCGAGCACAAGGAACTAGAATATCTGGATGCATTGCAACCTCCAGCAACTATAGTCTTGAAGAATTTTTGATATTCGTTAGAGAGTGCTGTTCTTTTCTTGAAATAGCTGCTGTTAGGAACTTTTTCATGAAGGAAGGTACTAATTGTTTGGTTTCCCATTTGATTGGAATCTTATTATGATCGGAATCAGAAATGACTATGAGTTTTTGTTCTTAAAGAACTCATTTCCAAGCTGCAGGAACATTTAAGAGTATAGCTACTTATTTGACTAATAAATAACTTGAAATTTACAATTTCGATAGCAGTAAATGAGAAATAATAAAATAGACATGGAATATATTAAGAATATTCTATAAAAAAAAAAAATAAGACGAATTAATGTAGTAATGGAATTGATAATTAATATAATCTAAAAACAGACAGTCCAAAACATCAGCCTGGAAAGTGGAGAGAAGTAAAAAAGGGTTTAGAATATAATCTTTAACCTGAACCACTAACAACCCATGGAGGGTCTTGGGTTCAGTACAATGTGAGGAAGTACTATTACAAGGACAATGGTTGTGCAGGGAGGTAACGGGCCACTATCATGTTCAACCGCCAGGTTTTCCTCCTTAATTAATTATTTAATTAAGAGTACCCACTTTATAGAGGCTGGGTTTGCCCCCAGAAGGGTCTCCTGGCCCCAGGGTCGACCCACAGCTGATGAAAAATTACTATTCATCAGCTGGATTTGAACCTGGGACCTTGAGCTCTGGAAGTCAGTGCTCACTCACTGAGCTATCCCGCTCCCTGAATATAATCTTTAGAATAAAAAAATGAAAATAATAATATAATAAATTAGATACCTACCATTAGAAAAATAAATTTGACTTTTCAAAAAATTATTTAATAAAAGTTAATTCAAAACTCTTGATTTATAAATAATTTCTAGAAATTTAGAAGCAATTATCAAAGCAATGCGTGTAAAAATCATGGATTTATTTGGATGAAGATTAGGTAATTTATAATAATAAACATTATTATACTGTTTTGTTTTTCAATATTTTGTCAGAGAACTAAAATAGCACCACATTAAAGCTAAAAAATATCTTATGTATATATATATATATATATATATATATATATATAAAGAAGTGTTTTTAGTAATAAATGATTATCAATACTTATGAGCTATGACTTTTAAGAAACAATCACAATTAAATTAGTCAATAAAATACAATATAAAAAATAAAAAGTCATACCTTGGGGTACACTCCATGTGTTAAATAATGTTTGAAGAATAACTTGAGCCACAGAATCAGATATCATATGAAAGTATAAAGGGTTTTTACGATAAAACAAAATTGATTTGATGAGAGTAACTACAGATCTGCTTGCATTGTATCCAGCACACACAATTGCTATGTGAATGAAGTCACATTTTGGAACATAATCATCCTAGACAATGAACAGGACAATGCTCAATTAAAAAATTTAACAACAATCATTAATATCAAATAATTAAATAAATAGATAGTAATAATTGTATAAATACAAATAGAATCTTCAATGATGCCAATACTAAGATCCAATATCCCAATTACAGATTAGGCTAGTTTGCTTTTTTATTATACTTGAAACATATATATGAAAAGAAATAAAAACTATATTCTTGTATGCCATTAACAGTATTATATTCAAGGGTACAGTACTTTGTAAGAAAGTACTATTTCTAGGCTAGTGGTTTTGTAAGGAAGAGATTTTATCTGGATCATACTCAACTCACAGATTTTTGACCAAAATAAGGGTACTAACTTAATAGAGGCTGGGTGTATCACAGGATGGTCTCTGGTCGATCCACCACTGACGTTACAGAATAAATTATTAACAGCTACAGCTGGATTTGAACCCATATCAAGAAGATAGCTACAAATGGCCTTACCCACTGAGTTATTTCGCTTTTGTTCTAATACTATTATTATTTAATTGTAATATATTTAAATTGTAGACACTCAGCCACCATCTCCATAATTAATGCTAACAGTTTCTTCTGACAGATCTCTCTAACAAATGATGCTAAAATAAAGGATCTGAGTCGTAAAAAAATATTTCCCCAACAGAGCGTTTTTCAAATAAAAAGGAAAAATTGAAAAACAAATCGGAATTGATCAAAGCATCCGATTCTTTTTCTGTGTTCTAATTTTGACTCCACACCAATCTCATGATTGCTATTCATGACATTTTCTGAAACCATCATAGTTGGTGCTCAACAATCAAGTGTTTCACTTATTTCAGCTCAAGATTCACTTGCCTTAATAAATTAGATGCTATTTATTTAATTTGAATTTGAGATTTATTTGGCAAGTATTAATGACTCATAGGCATGAATAAATAAAACTAGGAAGCAAGTTTTAAAAAATATTTTCATGATGCACCTTCCATTTGGGTAATGGAATCTTGTTTGATAGTTGCAAAATATTGGATTTTGGGACAAATTGTGCCATTTTCATTAATGTAAGCTGCCAGATATTTAAGTGCAGACAGGCAAAAGTATTAAAAGAGTAATTTAGAGAAACAAATACCAGAAAAGGTTTTATTAAGTTAGTATATTTAAGTGAAGTGTGCTGTTTCTGGCCCCCATTAAAATTATTTTGTTATTTCAGATTTTTATGATGCTTGAAACTGTTAACATCTGTCATTTACCTCTTAACATCTATTAATAGGACTCAAGATTTTTTTTTTTTTTAACTCTCCCAGTAATAACCTAATAACGCTTTTGCCTCATTTGTTTTCATTAATCAATCTAAGTTTATTTTTAAGAAATTAATAAAACTATTGATGGATACTTATTAAAATTAGGTATGAAAACTATCAAAGAGGAATTCACCTGACTAGATATACAAGGAACAGTTGGTTTCTTTTGAGTCGTTTTCAGAGGTATATCTTGTTCTTTGATGGTAAACGTTGAAGCATTGTAAGTTTTTGAAACAGTTATCAAATGGTTCTGGGACAAACTAAGTTGTCGTCTTAATAATTGATTTTGTTCTTCAATTTCTTGAACTCTACTGGCCAGTCTTGCTTCTCTTTCAGTAAATCCCAGAATATTATTACTGGAATCTAGAACAAGATAACCATAATAACATAATAAATGGATATATATATAACCAATGAAATAATACAACAGAAACTTAATTTTAAAAAATGGACTATATTTATGTTGCTGACAATAAACCAAAAAGTTACTTATACAATAAAATACACTCAACCCAAACAATTTAAATAACATAAATTTAAAATAGTAAGAAACATAAACAGTAAAATAAATATTTAAATATGTTAGCGTGCAATCTGATGTGGCATGAGAAAGACAACTAACTCTATAATGAAAAAACTTAGATTGATATGAAACAATTAAAATATTGACTCATGCCTTTGTAAATAATATTTTATGGATTCTTAATGTTTTTCATGTTTATGTTACAGTTTGTGTAAGGTGACCGGACATCCCGAGTGGCTGACAGTCCCGATTTTTACTATAGACAGTCTCACGTCCCGCAGCATTTTGAAAAAGTACCGATTTTTGGAATGAATTGCATTAAGCTAATAATGCACATTAAGCTAGGGAACAGCAGGAGAACTGGAAAGAAAATATACAATTTTCGGCAGCCATGTACCAATTTCGCCAGGATATGAGTTTTATATTATTTTTGCTGATTTTATAATATTAAACGTTAATAATAGTGAAGAACTGATTATTGATAACTGCTTAGCAAAGTTCATGTTGTTGATCAGTTGTTAGAATTTGACGACCATTGTTTGGACTTGAAGATAGTAAACAACCCCAAAATAATCTTTTTAGTGAGGTATCGTTATTAAAAAAAATATGATGATAAGAAAAAGGTTAAATCTTGGGCATCAGCAAATTAACTTAATTTACTACTTCAATTATTGAAATGTCACCTTCAATAAATTTTATACCATTTTAAAAAAGAGCTGCTTCATTATGAAAAAACTGCTATGACAAAACATTGAAGTCTTAAAAACTGTGTTATTATTTAAGTCATAAATTTGACATCAAATACATCATCAAATTATTCCCTGTTAAAAATGTGCTTTTACAAACCAATTCTCAATCTTATTACAGCTGAATACTATGCCACCTGCTTAACATTTGCATAAGATTATCATTATGTAAAATTAATTATTATAACAACAAATTTTTATTAGTTTTTGGATTCAACGAACCAAATTTTTAATCCAGAAACTCCCCTCCTCCCATCAATGCTGTTGCACTTTACCAATGTTAAAAGCCGGACACCTGATGTTTTTCTAGTCATTAGGGTACTGATACCATGTAATAGTGGAGAGAATTAGTCCAATGTGTATGCCAATTGGTCCTTTTTACTAACAGGGAGAAGTTATGGATATGAGATCACCAACTTTAATGAAACGTTTTTTGATTGCGAAAAATATTAGGTCCGAGAATTGTTTTATATTGTTATGTTTTTTGTAAAATAAGAAAACATATTGCAGATTGAATTAAATGAATTTAAATGTTATTATATTTAATCTATATATGATTATTTTTGTATCAACCCTTTTTAATCTGTCTTTTATTATACATTAAAAATATTTTTACAATATTTAAAAATTATAATTTCTTAACGTTTCAGCTCCAAGAGCCATTTTCTCCTAGTATTCTATATACAAATATATATTTGAGGAGGAGCAGGTCGGGGGGTGCAGTCAAATAAATACAATCTATCAAAATAGTATTTTATTGTTAACACCAACTTTTTGACCCACTTCATCAGGGTGTGGTGTCAGGCACTGCAGAAGACCTACAAAGTGGGTCGAAATGTCAGTAAATACTATTTTAATAGATAGTATTTATTTGACCAACTCCTTCTCATATTATCATCACAGTCGACCATCTCTACATCATATACACTGACAGGCAAAAACTTCCACCCACTTGATTTTTTCATATTTTCATCTAAAAATATTTCTGCTTTGGATTGGTCTATTGTTTTTAATGAATAAATAGGTAATCTTTTTGTTTGTTTTCAATTAGGAATGTTAATAAAGAGGACAATAACCCTTAATCCTTAATTCAATGAAATGATTCTAGATTCCAATGTTTACTTTCTATGGAATCAAAATGTTTATTCAGTATCATTAGTTCAGTGCCGTTTCTTGCAGCACATTTCTTAGTCTCCGGCTTTTAATTTTTTCAATATTAAGTTTAAAAATGCCTCTTAGTGCTGAGGATATTGCGCGTGGTGTGGCACTTATTGATGATGGATGTTCCATTAGATATGCAGCTAATGCCATCGGAGTTTCATATGAAACTTTACGAGACGCCGTCAGGCGTTTTCGGGAAACTGATTCTTACAATAGAAGGCCCGTTTCTGGACGGCCTAGGGTAACAGAACCACAGGATGACCAGTTTTTGACTTTGAGAATTTTACGAAACCGGCACCTTACCATTGTTCAAGCGATTCATCAGCTCGAAGAAGTTCGAGGTGTGCAAATTTCTGAACGTACCCCTTGGAGAAGAATAAATGAGTATGGATTAATGGCTTTTCGTCCAGTAAGAGGATCAGAGTTGACCAGAACTCACAGAGTAACATGGCTGGCATTTGCTCGAGAACACAGCCATTGGACTATGGATGAATGGAGTGCTGAACTTTTTACAGATGAGTCAAGATTCGCTCTTCGATCTCCAGACGGGTGTGAAAGGGTGTGGAGAAGAAGAAAAGAAAGATATGCAGCCTGTAATTTTTCTCAGAGCCAACCTTTCCAACGTGGTTTCTTAATGGTGTGGGCTGGGATTTCAAAGGAGCGCCGCACAGAATTGGTTGTTGTTCATGGAGGGTCTTTGACGGCCATTCGCTATGTAGATGAGATTTTGGAACCTCATGTGTTGCCTATCCTCAACGAAATCGGCGATCGTTCTATTATAATGCACGCTCACATGTCGCCCGCATAGTGCACACGTTCCTTCAACAGAACAATATTGAGGTTTTAGCCTGGCCAGCATGTTCTCCAGATTTGAACCCCATTGAGCATTAATGGGATAACCTCGGAAGACGAATAAGAGCGCATGCAACACTTCCTGATACACTGCAGGACCTTGAAAGGGCTCTTCGGGAGGAATGGGCTATCCTCCAGCAAAGGGATATTTCCCGACTAGTGGAAAGTATGCCGAGGCGTCTTCAAGTAGTGAAGGCAAGAGGAGAAAACACGCGCTACTAAACGATGATGTAATTAATTTCTTTTAGAATAATGATGGTTCGTTTTTAAATTTTTTTCTCTCTAATCTTTCTTACCCAATCACATTTTGATTATTAAAGGTAAAAAAGATTATAAAATTCCATAAATACTAAATATTATCTACAAATACCATGTATTATCTACAAATACCATGTATTATATACAAATACAACTTTACAGAAATATTTTCAGATGAAAACATGGAAAAATCAAGTGGGTGGAATTTTTTGCCTGTCAGCGTATATTTTAAGAAATTTTTAGAAATAATGTTTTTATAGGACTGTTTTTTTTTTTAAGAAAAAGAATTTTTGAAAATGGCTCTTGGAGACAAAACGTTAAAAAAAATAATTTTTAAATATCGTAAAAATGTTTTAAATGTATAATAAAAGACTGTGAGATTGAAAAGGGATTTGATAAAAAAAATAATCATACATAGATTAAATATATTTATTAAAAAATCTCACAAAAAAATATGAATAACCTAAAGAAGGTTTTTTATCATGAATTTAAATGTATAGAAAATCACAAAAATCAAAAGAAGTTTTAAGTAAAGTAAGCCAAGTAAACTTTTGTCATTGTAATTCATTTCTGGGATCCTTTAAAAACTCTGTAATACAAACATATAACGTTTTGGACTTGACTTCATTGGAGTAAAAACCAGTAAACTAAGTTTTAAAAAAAAATTATAATATGGTAAAATTAGAATTAAAAACATGTAGCAAAAAATTATTCATAAACAAGAAGACAATCATTGTAGAAATAATAAATATCCTTTTAAAATTGAAATAAATGGAATCTTCGCCATAACCGTTTGGTGCCATATAAATTCTGCTAAATAGGAATCTAGCAAAGTTCTGTGAGTTCCACGAATTTTCTTATGTTTCCATTTAGCAGAGCCCCACATTCTTTCAACCATGTTTATATAAATACATATAATCATATGTTTTATTATGGCACATATTTAAATTTTACATAATTTTTTAAAAGCTTAGTATTTTTAATGGTGGGGCAATAACAGAAAAGTGCCAGATTTTTTTTCCTGCTATTTGCTAGAGTATTCATAACTCCAATGATTTTTTTTCCTGAATCAATGTTCTAGAGGTACAACCAAATGTATTCTAACCAGAGTGGGAGAGTCGAGTTTCATTCCGTGGGTTCACCACAAAATAAAAGTCAACCACTCCCAGGCCGGATTCTCAATTGATGGTTTTTCTGGATACCTATGCAGCCTGTATGGCAGCAATGCCAGGTATGGGCAGCATTGGCAAGAACCCTCGATATCATCAAAAACGGTACATTGATAATGTTAATACCACACACATAACCCCCTCCCCCTCCCTTGAAAGTCATTATACATATTTCAGATGAAGATGAGCCAACTGTGCAAATTATAACAGGGTCAATGAAGTCAACACCTATTGAAAAAATGGAGTAAATTGCAAAGCTTCCCTCAATAAAGGATAGGAGAGATGTGAAACTCCTGCACCTAGATGCACAAGCAAAGTCCTTTCCAAATCATCCCTTTCAGAAAAGCAAAGGAAGGTGATCTGGCCCTCTCCAACTGAATTGTAAAGGAAACTATATGGAAGCCTGGAGGACCTGAGGAGGACTACAGAATTCGTCATTTTAGTTCCTGACCTATTCATATAAGGAAGAACGCAGACGAAGAAGAAGACTTAAAATAAATAATAATACTTAGCTTGAAAGTTTGTTTAATGTCTTTCGTTTTTATTTGCTCCCTTATATTTAATTAGTTCGTCTGCATAATTCCAAAAATATAAAATGAAAAATGTAAATTAGAGAATCTTAATCAGATTTTAGAAGTCCTAGGCCCTTTCCACTCCAAAGATGCAAGACGCAGGATGCGACCTGGATGCAGGATGCATGCATCTAAAACACTTGACTGTGTAATAGAACAAGAGCTTTCATACTGAAGATGCAAGTAATACCGAAGAAAGCATCCAGAGTGCAAGATGCACTTGCCTCTTGAGAACCAGCTTGGCATTCACAAGAATTTAGTTCACATTTACAGTTAGGTAGTATTTTATATTATGAATTTAATAATACTAAAGATTATTCAATGTATGTAAATGTTACATATATAACAATGAAGATAAAACATGTGGTGTAAATTTTTAACAATAAGTTCTCAAGAGGCAAGTACATCTTGCATCCAGGGTGCAAGATGCACTTGCCTCTTGAGAACCAGCTGGCTGGAGATTTCAGCGTGTATCTTTGTTAAGCTAGTCTTGCATACTCACTCCTTCCACCTCACTCCGCCCCACCCAACTCCTGACTCACCCGACTCTCACACTTGACTCATCCAGTTTCTTTTCAAACTTCAATTAGACATTGTGTTCAAAATACAGTTCCATGAGAACCAACAACTTGTTAAAAGTCAAAATATCCATTTTATAATAAGCCAGAAACTTTACAGGATGGTTCAGTATTTGCTGAGACACAATGTTTTGCAGCATTATTCATAATTTGTCACCTGAAGAGAAGATAGATACAGAGATAATGGATATGAACAGAAGGTGCAAGTGGTGCGTGCATCTTTGGTGTGAAAGCCCTTTCATCAAGATGCAAGACCCACACATGCATCCTGCATCCAGGATGCATGCATCACTTGAATCTTCGATGTGATAGCGGTCTCATTTTTAATACACATGAATAATGATATTACCGTTCAACAGAGGATGTAATGACCACGCACAATCAGGCATGGTTTTCAGTTGTCAAAATTAATTCATTTTGATTCCCCCCCCCCTGATTTCTAATTAGCCCTCTCAACATATTTCTTTGAGTTAACTTGATGCACTGATAAGATATTGATTGGTGCTTGAAGCCTATAATTACCATAAAGTTTTATTTTATAATATTTTGGGAAATAAAACCTCGCTAATGCAGCAAACAAAAGGTCTTGTTATCGATTTCATTACTTTTTAACAGTTAACAACCTCCCCTTCATAAAACAAAATTGGTCATACATGGCATAAGTATCATAAGTTATTAAATATAAACCTAAACACTATTTCAGTTAAAACAAGTAACTTCAATTGACACTTCCAAACATTAACATGGATAATAGGAGTGAACATTAAAAATAGTGACAATAATGAATAGGTTTACCATGATGGTTCAAATAAAAACAGTACACCATAAAAGCAGCAAACGTTGCTCCAAATAGAAAACTGCTCATCCAGTGTCTAACAAGTATAAAAGGAAAGACATGTCTATTTCGTCTACGGGCTATAATGACAGGGTGGATTAATAAATAAACGTTTGTACAAAACAGCTTCAATTTTGTCAAATACGATGAAAATCTAACTAATCATGGAGAATATCCATCCTTAAAATTTATAATACTGTATTTAATACTTTAAAAAAGATAACCAACCGAAGGTTATATGACAATAAACAACAAATAGATCGATCAAGACGAAAGTCAAAGAGCTACATTAACAGATTTAACTGTATATAAATTTTAGAATTTAGTTGGCATTCAATGTAAGGTAGTACTTTATATTATGAATTTAATAATACTAAAGATTATTCATTGTATGTAAATGCTACATATATAACGATGAAGAGAAAACATGTGGTGTAAATTTTTAACAATAAGTTCTATAGTATCTTACATCACAGTTCCAAACTACAATTACCATTCAGACACATTAATATAAATTAGATGCTTTTTCATTTACTTCATATTTAATCATACATGGTACTCACACCTCTTATATCACTTCCAGAGACCAAGAAGTTTTTATATTTACCAATTATAATTCAGCCCAAAAGCTTGGTGAGCTGTTCAGAACTGCGTTGTTTATTTAGATGGAAAAGCGCACAATTTTGTGCAATTTCAAACATGCTGAACCATGATCCGCTCAATACCAGTACATCAAAGGAAAGTAGTCTGTATTCGGACGGGATTATTAATTCAAACGTGAACTTTTAATAATTTTCCGATGTTTATATTTTTTGTTTTTTCAATTTGTTTTCATGTTGAGTGTTATTACAAACATAAAGCTGAAATACTGCGTATATAAGAAAAGAAAAACCTATATTTTTCAGCCTATATAAGAAAAGAAAGGAATTGTTTTTAAATTCCTTTGGTTCTGATTTGTATACGGACTTGGTTCGTTATTTCGCATAGTTAAATGGGCTCTGGATTCCTACTAAGCTCCGAATGGATTTGTAGTCATGTTAACGTTATCACAATTTTTGTGATTTAATAAAAAATAAAATCAAAGACCCAAGGTATGACATTTTTTTTTTATAGATACATAAATTCTTATTTAATGATTTTTTGAAGTATCAAAAACGAATCGACTTTATATTTCCTTCAAAACTGTCCCACCACCCTCCTCTCCTCCACATTGCCACTTCAGCTGTAAACCATTTAAATATTGTACTCAGTGCCGGGCAATTGGGCAATGGCCCCGGGGCGCCGATCTGTAGGAGCGCTCGCCACTTGTAAGAAATTTAAAAACAAATACAAAAATAATTAAGTTTAGCATATTAATGAAGCAAATGTATTCGGTAAATATTGAATGAAGTAAAATTCAAATACAACATAATATTGAACCGCTTGAGAAATAAATTTAATTTTTTCAAGGGAGAGGGAGACGAAGTCATTGCCCGGTGGTGCCGAATTTCTAACGCCGGTACTGATTGTACTCATTCAATAGATATTTGCCAAATATATTATTTATAAATCGTACGGGTGTCCATGGTAAGATTAGATACACAAGACCAGATACCAGAAGATTTGGCCTAAAAAACAAGATAATGCATGTGTTTGATATGTATACATTTGGATAAAAAAAAAAATCCGATTAGCTTTTTCATAACAAAAACCTATTTGGCTTACTTTATAGTCCAATAACCTTGTACATTGTAAGTTGCATTCAATGGGGGTAGACGATTTCTTTTTATTTTCTTGTATGGGATATGACTGAGATGCAAAATCCAAGTTTTCGACCTCGGCGTCTTCACCGAATCACTTTTGAATATCCCCAAAACTGCTATATTTTCGGCTTTACTCCATTTTATCCATGAAGGAGGACGTTATCTACAAAAAACATTTTATAAGTTTTTAAACTGTATTAAATATGCTACAATCCAAGACCAGAACAGGGGCAGTAAATCAAATAGTTTACGAGATACAGGTTTTGGAAACTTTTATTTTCCATTTAAATTACTTTTCATGTTTGATCACACGCCATTATCTTTTATCTTCAAAAACTTATCTGATATGATTCAGTGAAGTAAATATTTATTCATCTTAATATTTTGAAGTAGTGAGCGAGGGGAGGAGGGTGGTTTGGTGGGAAAGGGGAGATCACTTTTCACAATCAGAAGGCTTAAATTGAAACAAAAAAAATCATTTAACCTACATTTCAAGTGTTATAACATGGTTTAGGATTAGGTACAGGTAGTTCAAATTTTTCAAAGGAACCTGTAAAAAGTTTTCCCTTGATGGCCTGCGTTAGAAATTTTGTTTTTTACATTTTTAAATCCATATATAAAATAAAAAAAAATAAAAAATGTTCTCACATTTTTTTCAAAGGATTTCCCGTTTCAATCCTCAAATTACAATCCTAATATTCTTTAAATCAGCCGCCATTTTTTAAAGCGGTAGCTCTGGAACGACAGGCAAGATTTTTTTTTACTCAGAATAACATACACTTTCGTAATTTACAATCAAACCTTCGCCTGCGATCATGTCGATTTTTGGGCCTTGGCTGCAGGGCTAACAGACACACTGGCTCATCGTAAGCTTCTGTATCAAGTCTATAATTTCCCTATAGAGAGCAGCACTGGAAGGACTAACTTCTAGGGGAAAAAGTCGTTTTCAAAATTTGAAAATGTTAAGCTAATTTTCATGTTTATGTCTTCAATAATCTGCTTTATAAGAGTTAGTGAAGTGAACATTTATTAATTTATTATTTTGATGGAGTAGGATACATGGATATAGGAATGGCTAAAAATAATAAAGGATAGAAACCCTATGTTGATTTATGTGAATCTAATATTATAAGTTAATTGATAAAATAAGTGAGCTAGAATGAACAGAGTCATTTATTGTGTTCAATATTCTTTCTAGTAAACCAATGGGCTGCAAAAAAAAGTACTTACTGCATCTTTAAAAACTCTCCTCGTCTTAGAAAAATTTAATTTCACATAGCAGTGTTAGATATTGGAATAAATCACAGAAAAATATATTAAAAAGTGAAGAAGAAAAAACAGTTAGAAAAAAGAAATTCTGCAATCACTGTTGAGAAGTGCAAAATCTTTGAAAATATAACAAGAAACTGAAGGAAACAGTATTTAGTGGAATAAATATGTAAGAGACAGATGAAAAGAGTAGCACTATAACTATGCCATTTATGAGAACCGAATAATGTGGCAGAGGACTGCAGGCACCGATGCCAGGGTCTATTTAACTATTTTTTAATTTTATAATTGTTCTTACTTCATGAACTCTAATAAAGCAGGTTATTGAAGACATGAACATAAATATTAGCATTCACATTTTCAAGTTTCGAAAATTTCATTCACAATTTTTGTATGCACTTGATATAAATGTTGGTTAAATAATTATTTTATTTTAATTCCAGTCTTCTGATTGTAAAGGCAGAAAACTTGGATTTTGAATCTCAGTCATATCCAATACAAACAATAAAAAAAGAAACCTCAGAGCCCCCTTTATTATGGCAAGGTTACTGGGCTATTTAATGGAAGCTCATGTTGTAAGTTCTTGTATATTTGAACTCATAAAATAAAAACAGCAATATTATACACACAAAAATAATGTCATTTAAACCTAAGACAGACAACAATGATGTAAAAAATTGTTGAAATTATATAAAATAATTTTTTCCTTGGCTCCTATGGAGCATTGTCAAGAAATCTAGGACAGTATCTATTATTTTTCATTCTATTTATGAATTTTAATGAAATCATTAATTAGTTGTTCGTCGGTTTTAAAAATTTAACAAGAATTCGAAGGAGCATCCATTGTCAGTAACACTACCATTATCAATATCAAATAAAATGATAGGAAAAGAAATAGTGATCAAATGTTAAATAACTTTAGTCTTTCAAGAGCCATTTAAATTTCTAAATAAGGATAATGAATGTGCAAAGCAAAACATTCTTAAAACCACTTTTTATCTTCAATGCAGCTCACTAGTTTACAACTCCCAATGAGTTTTCTGCTATAACCTTGAATATCATAATGATTGTGCATAATCATTTCCTGCCATCATCTGGTATATTAAGCATTGTTTGAACAATTATATCTTTAGATCCATTTGTAATATGAATTTTTAATTCAAAATCAAGATTCAATGAAATCTATATTTGTTATACTTTCATATTGACAATCAGCATAAATGTGATCAGCTGTTGAAACCAATGTATTTGATTTAGAGCTCAAAATTAAATCTATTCTATTCTTTTACCGATTTTTTAGTAAATGGTGAAACTAATGTGTTGCATGGACAGCTTTTTTTTTATTGGTTTTCAATTTCTTTACTATCCAATTTTCAGGATTGGGTACAAAATATATATCAATTTGAATAAACAGTTTCAGTTTCGAAATTTATTTTTATGAAATTATAAAATGATGATTTAGAATGTTATCTGAGTAAACGGTAATATTAAAAATTTAAACAAACACACTTGAAAACACACCAAGCAATACCAATAATATAGTAGAACTTGATATTCCATTGTAATATATAAGAGAATATTTTAAACAAAGCATTTATTATGATGAATCTTAAAAACAAAACACATCTCAGAAGAAATCAATTTTCAAAATAGATAATATTTCAGTGTAAAACAGAATATAGTTCTCTATTAAATTGGATTTGTAGGATAAAATGGGTAGAAATAGATTCAACATAACATGTTAAGAAAAACCTGTATTAAAACGCACATTAATGATATTAGTTGGAAATTAAGCGTATAAGTAAGCTAAATGAACATTAATAAACTTTGAGATTTTCATAATAAAATAAGAATTTGATACACCTATACTAGACAAAAAAAATAAAAATAACTTATATGCAATATTATACACGTATTAATAATTTATTTAACAAAAATTACCAAATAAGGATGGAATAGATTTCTTGGCATAAATGCACTGTATACAAGTAATGAATCACTTGAAGAAATAATTAAGTT